GGAGCCTGCTACAGGCTATAATTGTATTAAAGATGTGTATCACTATTGTACATCAAGCATTTGGTAACTTGTGTAACAAGTGTTCTTGATCGCCAATAACTTAGAAATAGTAGGGATTATATTGTATAAGTAATGAGCATCAAATATGATAAAGTGACTGGCTGCAGTCAATTATTTTAACTCTTTTAGCTGCTTGTAGCAGCAGATGACCTTTGGGTTTTTGTCTTTTAAATCTCTGCCAAATGTTAAATGGATTCTGATAGGTGTCTTTTATTAATCTTTAATCTCTTCTCATGTCTCAAGTTTTCTATTCCATGCTAAGTAAAATTGGTATGTCTGACCAACACTCGATCCTTAAAATCTCTAATTCTTAGGTGATATCCCCAGCACGTAGTGTTATAACATAAATTGCTATAATTTGATCAACACAGACTTTCAAAGAGAGAATTAGTAAAGATCAATTATGGAAGACCATTTTTTGAGCTTAAAGTAGTGGCGGATTCAGGATAAACCTTGAATTGCATGAGGAAGGTATTTGTGCCATGTACCGAGGGCTGATCCTTGTACTGAAAAAAACTAAGATGCAAGGAGAAATTGGAGAAATTCAACTTGATACATTGAAAGACTATGATCTTGCAAAGTAATCTTGTATCATAATAAAACAGTGCAGAAAACAAAACAAAATGAGAGTTGGACATCAGGACTTGAGTTCAAACTAACTAAAGTTTTAGGACTGATATCAGGAAATGCTTCACACACATCACATGAAGTGGTCTTCTGCATTGAGCAGTGAAGTGAAAAGCCTTGAATTATTTTTAAAAAGTGGATCCTGATTTGTGAATGAGGGACACTTATTACTGTAAGAATGAGCTAAGTGAACAGCCTCCCTCCACTGCAAAGTTCTGTGTGAGTGGAAGGAGGTTTTTTTATTAATAAATACATGTTCAAACATCAATCTTGAAATATATTTTCAATATATTGAATAATTGAATTTTGACTAAATGAATTGATTTTGTTTTAAAAAGGTAATGTTGAGGTTTGTAAATCATTGGATCATGTATATTTGACCAACAGCCAGACCTCATTTTCTTTTGTGCCTATAACCTCCAAGCCAGAACAGAAATAAAGGAGGTCTTGTCTTGATGTTATCTGCTTTACTTAAAGGATACGTGGGCACGAGCTGTAGTTCAGTGAACTGTGTAATAATAAGCAATAACTTGTAATTAGATTTGTTTATTAACTTTAAAATTTGTTTTCAAAATTCTATTATTGCTATTCTTAGCAGTGCCGTAGAGTAGAACTCTTTCAGTGGCACTAGATAGCCACATTAGGCAAGGTGGCTGATGTGGGAATAAGCTGGAGGCCATGTCTCTATTAACTTGGCATGAGAGGGCCTGTCAGTGTGCCTGCCCTGTTGAAGGTGTAGATCACTGTTTTGTTACAAGCTTTGCTAATGCACAAATTTGTGTTTCATAGGATAATGGTGCCAGGGCAAAATAAAGCATTTCAACAATGTGACAGCTATAAACACTTTACTGTCAGAAATATTAACAGATATGAAAATACTTGCACTACTCTGGCATCACCAAGTCAGTGTACCTTCAATCAGAGCCAATAACTCGACCACCTACTGCACTGGGTGTCAGCTCCATTATTCACGAATCATTCCAAATGATTCCGTTGCCAGAGAGAACAGCTACAGCATCATTGGATTATGTGTATTTGACCAACAGCCAGACCTCATTTTGTTTTTCTAATGCCTATAACCTCCGAAGCTTATTTACTGTCGGAGTGATGGTAGAGAAGAAGACTTTAAGGAATGGGAAAATTCTGCCAAGCTCCATCTACAATGTATTCATTCAGAAAGCCCAGTCTTCATCCATCCATCTATTTGTCTTGTGTGTATACTTATCTTTCAGTGAACTTTATACTTGTGGCATTAATTTTTTTTTTTAAGTTCTTGTTTGCAAATAATTCACTGTTAGGAATTAAAAATAAATCTTGCAATTATGAATCATTTATAAATCCAAAAAGCTACTTGAACAGTGATCATTAATTTTACAAATTTACCTGATGACCAAAGACTACCTTCGCTGCAGATGCTGTCATGATGAACATGACAGTAAATAATATCAATGCATTTTAAATCCATTTTGGCAAATGTTTGCGTATAGCACTTTTGCTGGTCTTTGTAATGATTTCTTCGAATCAATTGGTTATGGCCTTTCATGAGCATATCGTAAAACCTGAGATTTATTTGTCACGGATTCATATATCTCCTTTCCAATATGATGCATCCCCCTCTGTAAAATTAATCATTGTGGTCATTGTTAAATGTTGGATTATCACTGAAAATATTTACTCCTCTGCTGTAAGATAAACCCTCACCACAACTCATTGTGGTGTAAGATCCATTTGGTGCATTTGCTGCCAAACTGTCTTTTTGGTGTGGGTCTAAAGGGCCGCTTGTTCAGTGCTGTAAAGTAAAACCACCTTGTGGTCTAAAGAGAAGCAGCTCTTGTCTTAAACAAGATGTAGTTTGATGTAAATGGTAGCAACTTGGTGCAGTTTATGTTGGTACTCTAGACATTGTTACTGAGACTGAAGGAGACCTCAGTTAGGTCCTACTCCTTTGAAATCCAAAGTTGTTCTTCTGCCAGAGACCATGTAATGCATTCCACAATACTAACCCTTTCAAACAGTTGCATCCTTATATACCACTCACTCTTTGTTTGATGTTGCACAATGAAGGCTTTACTGTACAGAACTGCTGTTGATCTTTTTAACTGATCTAAAACCTGAAAAGCCTGCAAAGGTCAGTAGATCAGGCAGCATTTGTCACAGTCATAACAAAAACACAGTTGCTGGAAAAGCTCAGCAGGTCTGGCAGCATCTGTGGAGGAGAAAACAGAGTTAATGTTTCAGGTCCAGTGACCCTTCCTCGGAACTGATGGTGGCTGGGAAAACGTCAGTTTATATGCAGAAAATAGGGAGGTGGGTGGGGTAGGGAGTAAACGATAGGATAGAGCCCAAAGAGAGAGAAAGACAGTTGGACAGACAAAGGAGTTGCTAACGATCAGGCCGGGAGGGTGAATAGTTGTTAATGGGGACTGTTAGTCACTAACAGCAGGGGGTGTGTAGTGGCAGACTATGTGGTAACAAGGTCTGGTGTGTGGGGTAGGGGGCTGGGACATGGGAGAGTTTAGGCCCTAAAATTATTGAACTCAATATTGAGTCCGGAGGGCTGAAGGGTCCCCAAGCGGAAAATGAGGTGTTCCTCCAGCTTGCGTTGGGCTTCACTGGAACACTGTAGCAAGCCAGAGACAGAGATGTTGGCCAGAGAGCAGGGCGGCGCATTGAAGCGGCAGGCAACAGGTAGTTCAGGGTCTTTTTTGCGAACAGAACATAGATGTTCTGCGAAGCGGTCGCCAAGTCTACGCTTCGTTTCCCCAAGGTAGAGGAGACCACATTGTGAGCAGCGAATGCAGTAGACTAGATTCTTGGAAGTGCAGGTGAAGTGTTGCTGGGGAGGGAGGAGGTAAATGCGCAGGTGTTGCACCTTCGCCGGTTACAGGGGAAGGTGCCATAGGGCTGTGGGGAGGTATTGGGGGTGAAGGAAGTGTGGACTAGGGTGTCCCGGAGGGAACAGTCCGGGACAGAGATGTTGGCCAAGGAGCAAGGTGGTGCATTGAAGTGGCAGGCAACACAACATCTCTGTCTCCGGCTTGCTACAGTGTTTCAGTGAAGCCCAGCGCAAGCTGGAGGAACAACACCTCATTTTCCGCTTGGGGACCCTACAGCCCTCCGGACTCAATAGTGAGTTCAATAATTTTAGGGCCTAAACTCCCCCATGTCCCAGCTCCCCCACCCCACACACCAGGCCTTGTTACCACATAGTCTGCCACTACACACCCCCTGTTGTTAGTCATCTAACAGTCCCCATTAACAACTATTCACCCTCCCATCCTGATCATTAGCAACTCCTTTGTCTGTCCAACTGTCTTTCTCTCTCTTTGGGCTCTATCCTATCGTTTACTCCCTACCCCACCCACCTCCCTATTTTCTGCATATAAACTGACGTTTTCCCAGCCACCATCAGTTCTGAGGAAGGGTCACCGGACCCGAAACGTTAACTCTGATTTCTCCTCCACAGATGCTGCCAGACCTGCTGAGCTTTTCCAGCAACTTTGTTTTTGTTCCTGATTTACAGCATCCGCAGTTCTTTTGGTTTTTATTGTCACAGTCATATCGGATTAGAAGCTTTAACTCTTTCTCTCAATAGATGATGTCAGACCTGTTGAGCTTCTACAGCACTTTGTACTTTCATTTCATAAAGTCAACAATTCTCTCCACAGGTCTGCAGAATTGGAATCTTCCTAGCACTTGATCACCGTGGCAGTGTGGGCATCCAGCCTGCTGCATCTACGCCAAGTCTCTATAGAGTAATCCAGCCAATTCCATTCCACTCCTATCCAAAACTATGGGATTATGTATTGCCTCAGTACTTAGCCAATTTTGTTCTGACATCATTTATAGTCCTTTCTTCCAGTGCCATCCTAGGTAGTGACTTCTAGATAATTATCGGTTGTGACATTTTTTTAAAAGCAAGTTCTTCCATACTGCCCACACTGCCATCTTTTGCCCAAAACCTTATATTTGTGAGCTGCAGGCCTTGTATCATCAGCCAATAGAAACAGCTTTTCTACGTCTATCTGATCTAATCCTAACCCCATACACTTGTCATCAAGGTTCTTTATTATTGAAATTAAAATCAACATAATTTTACATTGATTTTAGCTCCATTATTTTAAATGAGGAAAGTGAAAGACCAAGTATTTGTTGCAAAGATAATTTTCATTTCTTTTAATAAAGAATGCTTGAACTGAATGTGAAAGTATTGTCATAAGGAAAAGATTGTAGTCCTGTTTGTTCCACCATTACATGAAAACGTGATTATCATGAAAAGTCAGCCTAAAAATGTAATGTTTTTATTTTGACAGGGCCGTGGAGGTTTGGGTTCTATATATGTGTGGGCATCTGGTAATGGTGGCCGTAGCCGAGATCACTGTTCCTGCGATGGTTATACCAATAGCATCTATACAATCTCCATTAGTAGTACGGCTGAGAGTGGGAAGAAGCCTTGGTACTTGGAGGAATGTTCATCAACCCTTGCTACTACTTATAGCAGTGGAGAGTCTTATGATAGAAAAATAGTAAGTTTTCTTTCTCTCCAACCCTTCCCTCAGTCCATCCTATTTACATTTTTCAAATCTGTACTCATTTGAAAGTTTGGAAGTGGATTTGAAGCTTGAGCCATATTCGGTCATAAGTAGTTTTGCTTTAGTTGTAATTCCTGCAGAATAAGATGCACCCAAGATATGGGGTATATTTTAGCTATAAAACAATTGATTAAATATATTGGCTGGCCACCTGATTTTTACCATAAGGAAGCACAGTCCATTTTGTGGATTGGGCTTCATTATCGATCTGATAACAGGTTATGGGCACCAAGTATGGTGACCCATTGCAGCTCAGTGCACGATCCTGAGTAGCATTTGAAAGGTCAGAGGCGAACCTAGCTAGCAGTGCTACCTAAATGTGGCTCTTGAACATCCCTGATATTCATCACTCCACCATTGTTTGCTGTGTTTTCAGCTGCCTTCAAGCCCCAAATTCTGGAATTTACTTCCTAATCTTCTTTATCACTATTTCTCCCCTTTATGACGTTCCTTAAAACTTGTTTCTTTGACCAGGTTTTTGATTTTCTCCCTAATTGACTTGAATGTTGCAGTGTCAAATTTTTGCTTCACATTGGCCCTATCAAGTGCATTGGAACAGATGCGTTCTCACATGAAAGGCAATATAGTTATAGAGTCATAGAATCATACAGCATGGAAACTTATCCATGCCAACCAAGTTTCCCAAACTAAACTAGTCCTATTTGCCTGTGTTTGGCCTATATTCCTATAAACCTTTCCTATTCGTGTACCTGTCCAAATTTCTTTTAAATGTGGTAGATTCCCCTGGCAGTTCATTCCACATACGAACCACCCTCTGTGTGAAGAGATTGCGGCTTTAAAACTTTTTCTCGTCTCATCTTAAAAATATGCCATGTGGTTTTGAACTCCCTTACCCTAGGGAAAAGACCTTGGCTATTCACGTTATCTGTGCCCCTCGTGATTTTATAAACCTTTATAAGCTCACCCCTCAACTCTAGGTTCCAGTGAGAAAAATTCCCAGCCTATCCAGCATCTCCTGATAACTCAAACCCTCCAGTCCCAGCAACATCCTGGTAAATCTTTTCTGAACCCCCTCCAATTTAATAATATCCTTCCTGTAGCAGCTTCAAATCATTGTTTACCTCTGTCTTTGTTCTTTTGAAGTCTGATAGCAGCCTATATCACTGGAAAAGGATTATTTAAATATTACATTAGTGTCCCATTTGTGTCTTAGAAGTGCTTTGCAGAACAAGTTAATTTAAGGAGATGAATGATGCAGTTGGTTGCGCTGGTACAGAAAGGCCTTTCCGCCTTTGGAACAGTGTTGGCTCTTTGCAGGATAAACTCAGCTTGTCTCACTGCTCCTCCCTTTCCTTCTAGCACTGCAAATTTTATTACTTCAGGTACTTATCCAATTCCCTTTTGAAAGCAGTAACAATTTCCAAACAATGATGCAAAAGCAAACCGTTCAGTATTGGCAGTGACAACAGGGGATATGAAATCTGATATTTACAAAGGTTCAAAATTATTCCAAAATGACCAAGATTTATAGATCCCTTTGTGCAAGGATACATGAGAAGAATTCATAATGAAGTTGGACAAGTTGCATCTTGTATTGGGACAAAAATACACAGCTTAATAGTTGAACCCAGAACCAACTCTCAAGTGTATTTGCTGAGTTGTTTTGAATTGTTTCTGTGAAATAATTTTTTTTTTCTTTTTAGTCAGTTTTCTCATAAGACATTAACTTCTTACTTGGATACAGTTCTGATGTCCGTTGTTACCCTTCGGTATCTCAATCGAGTGGTCAATGTTGATGTGTGAGGCTTACACAAAGTGTCAGGTTACTCACCCCCTAACACTATCTTGAAGTCTCCATAAATTGAAGAGTAATCTCATACAGACTTCCTAGGGAAAGAGATGCTTTAAAACAAAAAGTTACTTCCATTTTCTTTGAACACTTATATGCATTAATGATAATAATATTTGAGATGAGAGGAACATGGCCACTTTATGGGACCGCATTCAAAATCAGCCTGGCCAATGTTCAACCCCTGACCCAGGAGTGCAGAAGCTAACCATAGGGCCTTTACATCATACCTTGGCATGAAGAGACTAACCCAGCATGACTGGAAAATCAAAGCTATGTTCTTCCTCTAGGGGCTTGTTTATTTGATATCTTTACTCACTGAGCCACCAGGCAGCCCTCAATGAGGACCATTTTAAAGTTGTTATTACTACTCCATGTGTTTATTTTAACCTTTCCCCAAATGTACATAATTGTACCTGATTCAGACTCTACTACCCTAGCACATTACTTGGCAGGCCTGAATAGGGACTATTTTGAGAGAATCCCAATAGGTTATTACTAATGAGCTTGGTCTGCATATGCTGGCTGTTTTGGAACATTTCTGATGTGGTTATTAGAGCTGATCTCAATAGGAACCAGGCTTGGGCCCTGCAACGATAATTCAGTAAAAGTTAATTTGGAATGTCATCTTTGAACGTCATCCTAGTCACAATGTGAAGCCCAATAGCATGCATATATTGAGAGATTTTCCTTTGTGAAATTTAGTCTGTGGGACACATGTTAAACTGGGCTCGCTGTTCATGTCAGGCCGGATTACAAAGACCTGTGCAAAAAGCAGTGACCATAATTATTTGAATAATTTTTATTCAAATGTTTGCCCCATTTAAGGCCCTTTGTGAGAGCTTTGTTGCCATGTAATTCCAAAGTACTCATAATTGACTGATCATGCAACTTGAATTCTTCACTAATCTTGTGTTCTGCAGGTCCTGCCTTCTTGAAAGTGCATAGCTATTACTACCCCTCTTCTTTTCCTTCTCCTCCACTTGCTTGTTATATTATCTCCTCTAAATGTATTGATACCTTACTGGATACAGTTCTTGTAGTACCTCACCAGAGGGCCACTACTCTTGTTTGAAATGTTCATGGCAATTGCAACAGAAACTATGACTAATTATTTTATAGCTTAATCCAGGAGTGTTGTAGCCATCTAAAGTATCAATGCTACTGCTCCAGGTCCCAGTGGAAACTGTTACCAACCACATCCTGCTCACCTCCAACCACACACCACCACCACCACCACCACTCCTCCCCCATCACCATCTATGTAATCAAGATCTTTCAATATTTTGAATATCTCTACTAAATCTCCCCAAAACCTGGTTTGCTATAAGGAGAACAATTCACATTTTTCCACATAATTTAAATCCCACATTTCTGGTACCATTGCAGTTAATCTCCTGTGCACTCTTTCCGAAATGTTAGCATGCTGATTCATACAGGTTTCTAGATCTGTAGCAGCTGAAGAGGGAATTAGCCCACTTGACTTCACCTTGAGTAATACCTCTGTCAAAAATTTTGTTTCCTGCAGTATTCCCTGTGAAGTCGATTTTGTTATGTTGAAGCCATTTTCACTTTTATAATGCAACATTTCCCTTCAAGCTATGTGAGAGAACCAAAAAACAAATTTAGCAATCCAAAACTGACTGTCTGTAAACCTATTAGCTGAACAATTAGGTGTCAACAAAATCTGTAATTGCTCGGCCCAATCCCACAATTGTTCATTGCAAGGATGCTGGGAAACCAGTACTGATTCAGTGGAGAGTATTGCCTTATTAGGTGACACTGTTTGACAGAACAGCTTCTGTATTAAATACCAAATGTAGCAGGCTACAGACAGAGCTAAGCAATCTGGTTCATTAACCTCATCTATTAGAGTCCATATTCATCCAATCCTCTATTGTACATAGTTCAGCCAAGTTTACCATTAGCAGATGCACTAGAGCAAATTGTCAAACCTTCATTGTTAAAATGGGCAAGTGTGGCAGCATTATAGGAAGAATGTTGAATGTGATGCGGTTGCTAAGTTACATATCATTGTAACTTCACCATTTGCTACTGTTCCACAAAAATCCTGAATTCTCCAGCAACCCCATTGGAGAAGCACCATTGCCAAAGAATTCTCACTGTTCAAGGAAAAAAGCCACCAATACCATGTCAGTAAATTTGCATAGTCTTTAATAATGTCAAAAGAAAATGTCTGTTATAAAGGCAGTATAATGTCCTATGAGTCTTGGTGCCTTGAATAGTTAATTTGAAAATTAAAATATAACCAGTTTGTTACTGTTCACATGAGTCTAAAGTGCAGAGTTAGCAATTAATCTGTTAACAACATGATTGTATTTGTGGCAAACGCATCCTTTTAAAAATCCACGTTGTGGGAATGAAAAATGAAACGTTGGCTCATATTTAGGAAATGTTCAATTTTCTTAAGTTGCAATCCTATTTCATAAGCATGTGTCATTATGCCTATTACTTTAACCTTTTTTTCCTGGGTTTATGATAAATCAAAAGTACAGAAAGAGAGTATGTGTAAGCTTGGATAAAGATGTCAGGCCAGATCAAACCATTAACAATAATGTAAACAATTCCCCATTAAGTTTCTTACAGGTGACATTTGTGGTTACCATATTTTTAATTTGTATATTTGTTTTATTTCTTCCTTTTGCTCTCCTTTGAGCACAACCATGTAGCTAATACAAATTGAAAATTTGCTTCTGCTTCGGTCAATTTCTCTTCTGTGGTAAAAGTAATTCTATAACTATGGTTCCTATTTTCAATATCCCTCCCCTACTGGAGCTATATTACTACCAATGAAATCAGGACGGGGGCTGTGTATGGAAATCCATACCTTGCTACTTGGTGCTGTGTTGTTTGGTCACCTAAAATTGTTTATAGTTTTTAGGCTATGTCAAAAACGCCAAGCTTGTGTACTACCTACTTGATCAGAATTATTATTTAAATTACTGCAGTTATAGATTTTCTGGCGTAGAAAATGTAACAGGGACTTGTTTCATTAAATAAGTTATTGTGGACGTATTGTTTCAGATCACAACTGACCTCCGGCAGCGATGTACTGACAGTCACACAGGAACATCTGCTTCAGCACCAATGGCTGCTGGGATTATTGCACTGGCACTGGAAGCAAAGTAAGCTGTAATTCATTTCAAGACAGCTTCTGTTAAATGGTTCCTCCGTAAACTTAATGAAAACTGACAAGCTCAACTGAATTAACTTGATTAGATAAATTTTAAACACATACATCTTAATGATTTTCACAAGGACTTTTTTGTCATGCCTAAGATATTTTCAAGCTAATATATTTGTGCTGTGAGCCGTGGTGAGTGGAATTGGCTGAGCACATGGATATATTTGATTTAATTGAGAGGCTACTCCACCCCAAAAAAAAATTTAGATCATTGCTGAAGAGCAACACCAAAAGAGAGTTGAAAGCTACAAGGAACCTGATGTATACACTAATGATTATTTTTGCTTTTATGCATTTACCAAGCAAGACCTGTGTAGTTATTTGTTCAACTGGGCATCTAGCCAAACCAACAGGTAAATAGAGCCAAATTTCACGAATAGACTCATACGGTTAGTTAATTCTCTCTTCATTGAAAGATGCTGTCTTCAAAAAGCATTAGATTTATCAAGTTTACTTCAGACCTTTTTTTTTTTTAGAAACAAAAGTTTTAATCTTATTTTAAATGTCTTAATGAAAGATTTTCCATATGAGGTACTGGGGTCATTGTAGAGTTTGGCAGTATGGGCCTATCTGCTGAATTGTTTGAAGCCTTTCTTTGACCTGGGTTGTCATGCACTTTTGAATTGGGGAAAAAAGTGCTGATTTAATCACTGCTTGAACTCTAGCTGGCACATGAGAAAAGCAAATGTGTTCCGAGATGGACTATTGGCAGGTGAATTGTTTGTGCATGAATCCAGTACAGATTATGTAACGGTTGTAATAGCACTGTAATTTATGCAGGCATGCTCTTCAGAATCCAAAAGAGCACAGTGGTGACATCACCTTTCCCAGCTGAAATATGATGTTAATTATTCTCTTGTGTTTCTTGGCTAGACTTTTTTTAAAGCTCCACTCTTCCCACCCGACCATTTTGTTTCAAAATTTATTTCTAAAGTTTCTTGATGAAGGGTTTATTATCCTCTGCATGTCTACTTAACCATTGCCATGCAATCTACTTCTACTTGATTGTATTGAAGAAGTACTTTTTCTCCTGTTTGATTTGCTCTAATAAATACAGCAATTATCCCTTCCGCTTCCAGAGGACTCTGCTATAAAGGCTTTTTGTGTGGAAGATCAGTTTTTCTGTTTATAATTAAAGAATGATTAAAAAAAAATTGCAGCATGAAGCTACTTGGACCATCATCTCATTGCCAACTGATAAATAGCCATCCAGCCTAGTTCCATTTTCTAGCTCTGTAGCCTTGAGGTTACAGCACATGAAGCATATACTCAAATATTTAAGATATCTGACAGTCTTTCAGACAGTGAGTTCTGGTTCCCCACCACCCTCTGGATAAAGAAATTTCTCCTCCTGAACTTAATGACTCTTCCATTAGATCTATGCTCCATGGTGATCGATTCCCAACACATGGAAAGTAGGGCCTTCCTATCCATTCTGTCTCGACTGTTTATAATTTTGTGCACTTCAGTTAGCTCTCCCTTTGTCCTCTTTTATCCAAAGAAGAAAACACTACCCTATAAATAATCTTTTCCTCCGTTAACTAAAATTCTCCAGTCCAGTCAACACTTTGGAAATTCTTTCTGTACCCTCAATGTAATCACATCTTTCCTATTGTGCACTTACAAGAATTGAATGCAGTACTCCAGCTGTCACCTGACCAACGTTTCATACAGTTTCAAAATAACCTCCCAGCTTTCATATTCTCTACCTCAATTAATAAGGCAAGTATCCTGTAGATCCTTTTGACCACCTTATGTTCCTGTCCAGTAAACTTGCCGGGATCTGTAGACATGCGCTCTGAAGTTCCTCTATAATTTTTGTTATCCAACTTGCTTTGTTCGTGTTCCCTTGTTATGTTACCTCCCACCTTTTCTACATGCTGTTGCATGCACTTATTTGTACCGCCATATGTTGGTTCAACATGACTGCTTGATGGTACGGTCATTTTTTTGTTATATAAAGAAATTATTTTAAAGAGTTTAAAACCTTGTATCCTAACATGCATCAAACCAAACTTATGGGCTCGATAATAGTCCAGGTATATTGCCAGAGACTTTTGTGCTGGGTCTTCTGTTGTTTGTCATTTATATAAACAATTTGGATGAGAATATGGGAGGCATGGTTAGTACGTTTGCAGATGCCACCAAAATTGGTGATATAGTGAACAGTGAAGAAGATTATCTCAGAGTACTATGAGATTTTGATCGGATGGACCAATGGGCCGAGCAGTGGCAGATGGAGTTTAATTTAAATAAATGTGAGGTTTTGCATTTTGGTAAAGCAAACCAGGGTAGGACTTATGCATTTAATGGTAGGGCCCTAGGGAGGGTTGTCAAACAGAGTCCTAGAGGTACAGGTACATAGTTTGTTGAAAGTGCTGTCACAGGTAGACAAGATAATAAAGAAAGTGTTTCGCACACAGCCTCCATTGGTTAGAGCATTGAGTGCAGGAGTGGAACATCATGTTATGGCTGTACAAGGCATTGTTGAGGCCACAATTGGAATTCAGCATTCAATTCTCGTGCCCTGCTATGAGAAGGATATTATTAAACTGGAAAGGGTGCAGATGATTTACAAGGATGTTACTGAGACTGGAGGGTTTGAGTTATAAGGAGAGGCTGGATAGGTTGGAACCTCTTTCCCTGGAGTTGTTGGAGACTGAGACCTTCGAGGTTTGTAAAATCGTGAGGGGCATGGATAAAGTGAATAGTCAAGATCTTTTGCCTAGTATAGGGAAATGCGAAACTAGAGGGCATAGGTTTAATGTGAGAAGGGAAAGATTTAAAAGGACCTGAGGAGCAACTTGCTGACACACAGAGGGTGGTGTGTACATTGTACGAACAGTCAGTGGATGTGGTAGAGGTGAGTGCAGTTACATTTAAAAAGATATTTGGACAGTACATGAACAGGAAACATTTGAAGAGATATGGGCCAAATGCAGGCATGTGGGTCTGGTTCAGTTTAGGAAACCTGGTCCACGTGGACGAGTTGGACTGAAATATCTGTTTCTGTGTGGTTTAAGGAGCTATACCTCTAACCAAGATGGTCTAATCCATCTGCAATACAAACCATCACTCGACAATTTGAAAATTGCTCAGGTATATCCTGTCCACAAAAAGCAGAACAAATCTAACTTGAACTATTGCTTTCCCATCAGTCTATTCTCAATCATCAAAGTGCTGGAAGGTGCTATCACTTGGGATATATTAAGAAACAGATATTACATCGTCATGGTGTTTTACTGTTTCGTTAACCATCTTGTGCAAGTAAAGTTGTTTGGTTCAAAGTCAGTATCTCAATTTGGCAAGAGCACCCAGTCGACCTTTCAAAGTGAGGAATTTGTTGGCAGTAGCAGTGTCAAAGAAAAGGTTCTTTATTGCAAACCCTGGATCTCACTACTGTAATCTAAAACTTTGCAGTATTGCAAGGTTACATCCCTCCCCCTTGTTAAACCCAGAATTCAAGTCACACAAGCTACTTTGACCTCATGAATCATAAGGTTCAAACCAGGACATGTATTGACATGATACAATAAACTGGCATTTATATTTTAACTACTTCTACCAGCTCCCTTACCACCATGTTCCAAGCACTTAACACTCTGTGTGGGGAAAAAATAAACTTGCCTCTCGCATCTTTTAAACTTTCCCCTGTTACTTTAAATCTGTATCCCCTAGTAATTGAATTTCTACCCTGGGAAAAAGATTCCAACTATCTATGCCTCTCATAATTTTCAAAACTTTTATCAGATCACCCCTCAATTCAAGAAGTGAAGATAAGCCAAGTTTGTCCAATCTCTGCTCGTAGCTAAAACTCTCCAAACCAGGCAACATCCTGGTAAACCTTTTTCTGTACCCTCTCCAAAGCCTCCACATCTTCCTTGTAGTTTGGCAACCAGAACTATATGCAGTATTCCAAATGTAGCCTAACTATAGTTCTATACAACTGCAATACGACTTGCTAATTTTTATACTTAATGCACTGACCAATGAAAGCAACCATGCCGTAGGCCACCGAGATCATCTTAACCACTTGTAGAGCTACTTTTAGGGAACTGTGGATCTGTATGCCTATATCCTTCTATATGTTAATGCTTCTAAGGATTCCACCATTTACTATATTACTTCCTTCCTGTATTAGACCTTCCAAAATCCACCATTTTGCATTTGCCTGGATTAAATTCCGTCTGCCGTTTCTCCACCCAATTCTCCAGTCTACCTATATCCTGCTGTATGGACTGGCAATGTTCCTGTCTATCTATAGCTCCCCCAGTCTTTGTGCCATCTGCAAACTTACTAATTAGACCACCTCCGTTCTTCTCCAAATCATTTATAAACAACAGGGATCCCAGCACTGGTCGCTGTGGAACACCACTAGACAAAAGTCATCAGGGATTTAGAAGGTGCTATCTAAGGAGTGTTGAATTTTTGCAGTGCGTTTTGTAAAAAGCACACATTGCTGCTACTAAACATCAGTGGTGGAGGGTGTGAATTTTTGTGGACGTGGTGCCAGCCGAGCCTAGATGGTCAAGCTTAGAAACAGAGAAACATAGAAAATAGTAGCAGGCCATGTAAGTCATTTGCCCCTTGAGCTTGCTCTGCCATTCAATATGATCATGGTTGATTATAGTTTGAATAACATTTGTGAAGATTTGAAACAAGAATTGTAGTGCATGGACTGGGGCTTACTGGGGACTTGCTTGATTTATTATGTATGATGCATGTACATGTCATAATTTATCATTTATAATGACATATGCTATACATTGTAAGTTAATGCCCAGATATCAGTGCTTTGCACTTGCACTTACTATTCATTTGTTTACTTTCACTCCTCTACAGTTTTGCATTTGTATTCTCTCGCTCAGTTTTGGATATGATGGGTCTCATTCGCTTTTTTAAACAGCCTCCTCACTTTTTTCCTGACACCATCAAAGATTT